AAACTAACGCAAGTTGTTTTTATATCCACACAATTTAAATATCTTTCACTTTGTACCTGACCTGCGTAAACATTTTTGTTTTTTGTCACCAATTCTGAAATATTTGCGTTTACAGTTAAATTTAACTTAAACTTAAACTTTAAAGAATAGTATATTCTTTAACAAGTTTGACAGTTTCACGAGAGGGGAATATGCAATTCCAAACGTGTTTCAGACTATACTTTTTCTACGTTTCCAAAAAATACCATAGACAAAGAATTTAATTGGAAGAAAGTGAGGTTGGATCGGTCTAAAAATTTGTTAGATATTAAAAACAGAGACCCACACAGAACACGCTATCCAATGGATATCCAATGGCTATCCCAATGTCCATATAACATCCATGCCTTTTACGATATCCATTGGATATCCAATGGATATCCATACTAGATGTTCAAAAAAAAACAAAAACATTAAAAATATTTTTTTCTTTTTTAAAATAGCCCCTTATAGGATAAATTTATGTAATGATTAATAAATATGATTTAAATCGTTATTAACCCAATTTCAACAAAGTATCTCTAATATATATCCAATGGATAACTAATGTATGTCCAAAGTATATCCACTGTACATCTAATGTATATCCACTGGATATCCACTGGATATCCAATGGATATCCATACTGGATGTTAAAAAAAACAAAAACATTAAAAATATTTTTTTCTTTTTTAAAATAGCCCCTTATAGGATAAATTTATGTAATGATTAATAAATATGATTTAAATCGTTATTAACCCAATTTCAACAAAGTATCTCTAATATATATCCAATGGATAACTAATGTATGTCCAAAGTATATCCACCGTACATCTAATGTATATCCACTGGATATCCACTGGATATCCAATGGATATCCATACTGGATGTTCAAAAAAAAACAAAAACATTAAAAATATTTTTTTCTTTTTTAAAATAGCCCCTTATAGTATAAATTTATGTAATCATTAATAAATATGATTTAAATCGTTATTAACCCAATTTCAACAAAGTATCTCTAATATATTTCCAATGGATAACTAATGTATGTCCAAAGTATATCCACTGTACATCTAATGTATATCCACTGGATATCCACTGGATATCCATACTGGATGTTCAAAAAAAAACAAAAACATTAAAAATATTTTTTTCTTTGTTATAAAATAGCCCCTTATAGGATAAATTTATGTAATGATTAATAAATATGATTTAAATCGTTATTAACCCAATTTCAACAAAGTATCTCTAATATATATCCAATGGATAACTAATGTATGTTCAAAGTATATCCACTGTACATTTAATGTATATCCACTGGATATCCGGTGGATAACTGATATGGATATCTTGTATATATACTTGTGTGTATACATGTGGGATTTTGTGATGGTTTAAACTAGCATATGTAAAAAAACAACTTTACGGTAAATTGATTTTTTGCCAAGAGCTACGAAATTTTTAATTTTGAAATGTTCACTTTACCCATATAATAATATTTATATATTAATAATATTATTTCTGTTAATAATATGACTATGACAGTCTGCAATACAATAAAAAATTACTTAAAAAAGTCCCTTTTGTTTATTATTGTATTTCATAGTACTACGCACGCGCTGAATTTGAGAATCTTCAGTGTTGCCGGTTATAAGCAAAATAACTAAACGAAATATATTTCCGTACTTTATTAAGTTTTAATAAATAAATTAAATAAATTTAAAATAATTATTCACCACATTTATGTCAAATAGGTATACTAGGTATACTAATTAATTAAGTATTAAAGATTTAATAATATAACCGCCATTTTGATGAGCTTTCTGAAATTATTTAAACGTCTGACAACACTGCTGCCGAACAACACAGAAGATAAAGAAGCGTCCTTTTTCTATGGTAGCGTCCGTTAAATATGATGCCATGATTGTTAGGTACATCCAAAGGGTTTTCATGTTTATTTGCTTCATTCCACAGATTGTAAAGGTTCATTCGCCATCATTGCTATTTGTTATATGTTTGTCATAAAGTTTATTGCCAAGTTATTGTGTTTTGTGGTTATTTGTTTGAGGTCTCTAGTGGTAAGTGAATATTTTATTAATTTTCTAATCATAGTTATCATTTTAAATTGTATTGGTCTAAAACTAATACAATTTTAAATTAAATAGGTATATTTAAGTGCAATTTATAAAATTTCGGTTAGCATTGAAGGTAAAACATTAAAGGTGAATACATGCATGTATTTATATACCGTACCTTTATTTGCAAGCTATACATAGGCTCGAGGGTAACAAATGGGCTGATGGATTGGCCAAATTTTGGGGATCATAAGGAGACAGGTGAAATAGGCCCTAAATGATTAGGCTGATAAAAAGGCAAATGACAGCTGGAGGAGTGATGGCAAGCCAGAGACTTCACTTCTTTAGTTATATGTAGTTTTCTGTTCTATTTTATGTTTTCATAAAAATAAATATTTAAATTAAAGAATAAGACTTTTATTTTAAAACCCAATGTTATTTATTGAAAAGTAAATATCCATTGATTCACCATATCCAATACAGATGACAACCATATTGCATACAATACTATATCCACTGGGTATCCATTGGATATCCACACTATGTCCAGGAGGGTCGGACATTTATATATCCAATGGTTATCCATTGGATATCCATACAATCTCCATATTGAATACAGATTACAACCATATTGCATACAATACTATATCCACTGGGTATCCATTGGATATCCACACTATGTCCAGGAGGGTCGGACATTTATATATCCAATGGTTATCCATTGGATATCCATACAATCTCCATATTGAATACAGATTACAACCATATTGCATACAATACTATATCCACTGGGTATCCATTGGATATCCACACTATGTCCAGGAGGGTCGGACATTTATATATCCAATGGTTATCCATTGGATATCCCGGATATCCTATGTATATCCTGGATATCCATAAAAGAAATCCATTGGATATCCATTGGATGTAATTGTTCCGTGTGGGGATGTCGCCACGAGTGTACGTTCTGCACATACTTCCACACATATACCGCTTATTGCCTACATATATTTTGTATAGATGACCTTGTTCCCGTTTCTAAGGGGAAATTTGTTCTCGTAGTGTGCCATTTTCCTTTATGCGCATAGTCAGTTCATAAGTGGGGGATTTAAAATATTTGATACCATAGACATCACATAACATTAGATAGAGAAATTAATACGTCCATTTATGATACGAATTGTCAACTAAACAAAATTTAGGTTATATAAAATTTTTCTAAATTATTTGGTTCCATAGCCTGGGTTAAGCTTACAAACATTTTTGTGATTTGGCTTTATAAAAAGCAAAAAGTGGCATAATATGCATATTATGTAAAATCCACTAAAATCTCGTTAAAACAATGGAAAAAAACAATGCCAAAACAATTGGTATACAACAGAAAACAAACAAAATTGATAATTAAAATACCCTATTGAAAATGCCATATAGAACCATATAAAAAACACGTATCTGGATTCTATATGGTTTCTATCTGGTTCAATATAGGTATTTGAAACAGGCATTTCACTATAGAACCAGATAGAAGATTACATTATAGAACCAGATAAAAACACTCTAAAACACTATAGAACCAGATAAATCCATATACATCCATATACAGGTCTTTATAAAGACATGTATATGGTTGTATATGGATTTATCTGGTTTCTGTTCTATATGTATTTCCAGATAGGTTTCCCTATATGGTTGAATATGAAAATTTTTAAAATGGAAATCCATATTCAACCATATAGAATCCGTAATGTAAACCAGGACTTTCCATATAGGACCTATAAAACCATATAGAACCAGATAAGTTTCCTTATCGGATTCAATATGGGTTCTATATGGCATTTTCAATAGGGTAACCATCTACATATTTATATGTCTACCATAAAAATCTTTTGGCTATAATCGTGATCAAAAGACGATGTTGCCAAACTTTTGCTTTTATAAAAATGCCATTATAAAATCTAAAATATCATCATTTTGTGAGTATATTATTGTTAAATGCTTTTTTCATACAATTTATATCCAATTTATTAAAAAGTATTTATTATACTATGGATGGATTAATAGGGACGAAAATATGTTATTTTTTTTTAAACCGGCAATGCAGCTGACGCATGCGCCTCAATGCCCGCTACCCTGTGAGAACATTTTCCCTACTTTACCCCCACGAAATGGAAACAGTCTCAGTTAGAAATGATTTGTATATGTGTGGAAGTATGTGACGTTCTGTCATCAGATGATAGAATATTTCATTAAAGTTAAAAGAAAAGTTTATTTATTAATTAGTTTTTAAGAAAATTACATTTTATTTAATTATCGTAGATGTTAATTGAATACGTCAATGCAGAAACTGAATATGTCCTACCTATCTAGTTTTGAGATAAATAAGAAAAACTGAACAGAAAGTGGACATATGTTCTGGACATATTCAGTTTCTCTACTATATTAACGCCTTTGTATATTCTAGATTACCGTGACATATGAAATTTCTACGCCATTCGATCGGGCTCCCTTTACTTATAGTAAATCCATGTTTAACTCAATAGCCCTAAAAAGTGGACATATTCAGTTTCTGCATTGACCTATTCAATTATTAAAATTTAACTTTTAAAGCAAATATATCATAAGTATAGCAACCAACATTACACTCAAGATTTTTTACAAACAGGACTGCACTGGACCGTGACCTTCGATGGATTGCTTCCGAAGCAATGCTTCGTACGAATGTGTCGGATGAGTCACGTTCATATATTCGTGGTTTCTACTACTTTAAGTATGTAGGTACAACTAGGCAGGTATTATTTTAATCAACCACGTGTGTACAGACGAGTTTACGAAAATAGTTAAGGTACAAAGTTGTAAATTATTTTTATACGTTTATTACCTAATGAAAGCGGACCAAATGGTTTTATGCTTTGACAAATAATAAAACCATTTGATCCACTGTTTTAAATAAAAAACAATACTTATAAGCACAAAAAGTTGTTTTTATTAAAACATAATCATTCAAAATAAAGAAACTAATAATAAAAAAATTGTTAATGGCGTCTGTCTGATCTACTACGTCTGTAATCCCGTCTTTCTTCATGGATACTTCTTCCACTTTTATGGCGTTTTTCTTCGGAATATTCTCTCAGTCTATGCCTCTTATCGCTCGAGTCCCTATGTTCTCTGTGTTTTCTACGGTGCCTATCGCGACTTTTATCACGTTCATAGCCATCGTTTCGATGTTCTCTGTGCTCGTGTTTTTTGCTGTGCCTGGAACTCGTACCAGAATGTTTGCTAGTCGATGACTGTGGCCTTTCCACGTCATCCAAGCTACCTTTTGAGGCATTTGATGGATCAGGCACGCGCTTTTTGCCTTTATTCCGACAGGTCAGCCAGTCTTCAAAAACCTCCATCTGGTTTTCGATTACCTCTTTCATAACCTCATTGTAGGATTTTTTGTTTGTGTGCACTGCCCTGTATTTGATTCTTCTACGTTTCGAATCGCGTTTCAACGCTTCAATCTCTTCGTAAGAAAGGTTTTTATCCGTAATGCCACTCTCCGAAAATCTAAAAAATTTCGCATTATAGTTTATTTGGAAATTATTATTATCCTCTATACGCTAAAGAAGCATCGGGTTTTCGCAACGCTGGCGCCATCTGGTGACAATCTATAGCATTATTCGACTACAAGGTTTGCCCATAGATTAATAACCTCTGGATTTGTCAACAATAAATTTAAAGCATACGAACTTTTACATTTTTACATTTTTGTACAAAACATAGGAAGGCAGAAGTCTTACTCGACAAATTTTATCCGCAAAGTTGCAATTGCACAGCTTAACTGCTTACGTTATATGTATTTCGCGTTGCAAGTAAAAACTGAAAAAGTTTGGTTAAGTACTCGATTTCGATTTATTATTCTTTATAAGCTTATATACTTACATTAGTGTGTATATTTTATTTAAGTGACCTAATATCGTTTATATTTAAGTTTGAAAATAATTGTTGCACAAACATAACCTTAAAATCAAACATTTTTATATTTAAGTCCTCTAAAAAAACCCGACAACTGCTTTTTAAAATAGTAAGAGTCTTACTATAAGACAAAATATGTCTATGAATTCACGGTAACATACTATTTATTATATATATATATGTACATAATATAATAACCGTTTTTGGTCATTTACCGTTGCAATTTATTCCTTCATTTGGATTCCCACTGTTCATTGGGAAACCGGTAAAAGCTCAACCCAACAAAACCCAACAAATCCACGTTTTTTTCTCGATATATAAAAACACGTTTGTAACATACGCGTTTGACAGCTGCTTATTAAAATCTGTATTTTGTTAGGGTGGCGCGACTAGGGATGCTTTTTTAGCGTATAGAGGTTTCCAAATACTTACAAAGGCAAATCTTCAGGTACTTTTGGTTTTACTGTATGGGCGATACAGTAATTGTATAATGCTAATCTTTCATCCGCTGAGAATGTGGAAGTTAATCTACTTGATGTCATAGGTTCTGAATTTAAACCATTCCATACTGCAGAGAAAATAAATAAAATTGTACAATTGTAAGACAAAATTTAGGAAAATGAATCAGGTAGTAGGTACCTATTGGATTTGTCTCAAAATTCAATTTAATCAGCTATTATAAAATGCGACCAAAAACCTTTTTTGTGTAAATTTAAATGGTTCAAGAGTATAAAAATGTATTTAAAACTCATGGGTCTACGAGGTGAGTTCAGAAAATATCGGGAATTTTCGTTTTTTGAAACAAATATTTATTTATTCATCTACATTAATGTTGTCGCCTTCAAAATAGTCCCCATTGGATATTATGCACAATTGCCAGTTCTTCTTCCAATACTCGAAACACTTCTAAAACTCGATCTTTGGGATAGCCTTTAGATCTTTCAGCGATGCGCTTTTAATGTCATCTATGCTTGCAAAACGTCGGCCCTTTAAGGTTCTCTTTATTTTTGGGAATAGGAAAAAGTCATACAGAGGCATGTCTGGCGAATATGGAGGCTGGGGCATCATTACAGTATTGTTTTTGGCCAAAAATTTTGTTCAAAATTTAACAATTTTAGAACAAATTTTGCCACGCGTTTCATACCCAAAACATTCGAAAAAATTTCATGGGATGAGCCAATCGATATACCAACATCATCAGCGACTTCTCTGATGGTTTATAACTATTTCTTCCACTTTTTTCATGTTTTTATCGGTTGTTATCTTCAACGTCTTCACGGCCATCTTGGAAACTCTTGTTTTACTTATAGCAGACTCACTATAGGCCTTTGTTAACATTTCACAGAATTTATATCATTTTTTAAGCAAAATTGGATACAAATTCTTTGATCCATTTCTTTTAACGAACGAAAAATCGCCGAGCTCATAAAACACATCTAACCTTAGAGGCTGACACAGACAAAGTAAACAATGAAAACAGCTAATCATACTTCGGGGGCATGTATACCAACATAATAAAGAAAATTTTATGACAACCGAAATTTAACAATTCCCGTTATTTTCTGAACACACCTCGTATATTATTTTGTGACACCCTGTATTTACTTTGACTTTAAATGCATAAAAATCCGAGCCCTACCAATAACCAAATCATGTATTATATTTATGGCTAGAATTTCATAGATCCTTTATAGAATAACTCGTTTTCTTGGATATTTCCAGAAATGTCCAGAATCTTAACCTATAAATAGGAATGAAGACAAAACAATTTTTATACAAGTATTCACTTGGTACAAGAATTAAAAAGATTTGTGTATAATAGGCTTTTGGTTTTTTGTCTTTTTTACTCGCTGCATGTTGCTATCAATTTTTAATGTAATGTAGGTAAGGTACTAGCTCCACACGCAAAAGTCCCAACACGTGACTTTGATCGAAATAATTAGGGTTAATTGTCTTATTTTCTAAATAATACAATATATGTATTTTTTTCTACTCATATTACGGAATTTGACCGTTTTATTATCACTTTTGTCTATGGAATGACATATATTCCGTAAAGTATTACAGAATGAAATATTCTATCATCTGATTACAGAATAAACACTCGTGGCGACATCTCTGTTTTTAATATCTAACAAATTTTAGACCGATCCAACCTCACTTTCTTCCAATTAAATTATTTTTCTATGGTGTTTTTTGGAAACGTAGAAAAAGTATAGTCTGAAACACGTTTGGAATTGCATATTCCGCTTTCGTGAAACCGTCAAACTCGCCTTCGGCTCGTGTGACAAACTTTTCACTCGAGCGGAATGTGCCGTATTCCAAACTTGTAACAGAACATACTATTTTGTGTTCTAAATTAAGAAATTAATTTTTAAAAATACCTAGTTTTTTTATTCGGAATTTGACACATTTTATTATGTTGGTACTCCTTATTAAATACATTTAATTAACAGAATTTTAATTGGTACTCCTTAATTTAAATAAATTTAATTGTTAGAATTTTAATAAACAGGTCCAAAGATACAGAACATTCTACACAAAAAGAAATTTTCTGGGCCCTAAACTCACCTATATTTTATTAAAGTTATTGCAATTTATATTGGAAATTTTCAAAATTTATAAACATTCTTAACCTCATATTATTATAACATTATATATTATCTACTAAATTCTTTTGTTTTACTCAATGAAGCCAATTATAATAAGGGTCCCTAGAATTTGCCAACTAAACCCCCAAACTTTTGACGTTGTCAATTGACAATATACAGTTTGTTTTTATTCGGAATTTAAATTCCGAATAAAAACAAAATGTATATTGCACTACTTTCAGAAAATTACCTTGACACTGACAGAAAGATAACCTTAATTATTTGTATCAGTCACGTGGTGGGACCATAGAAAACCCCCTTGAATTTAAGTAACACAAAGTTTAATAATATAGTTTTTCTACTCCTATTGCATATTATTGACATTTGGGTTTTTTCCGTAAATAATGGTAACCAATATAACCGCCCGGCCTAGCAACGTGAATAATGAACTCATTATTCACGTTGTTAGGCATCAGTGATTGGCTGATTTTAATATTCACTGTTATTCAAACCAATCAGGTTTTAAATTGGGTAAAAGTAAGGTTAACAGATGTCAGATTTGTTTATATATACGAGGGGCGACTATAATGATCTTTAAAATCGGAGAAAAGTGAGGTTATAATACATTTTGTTATCAATGGAAATTACTTAATTGGAGTAGAGAAAGCATAGTATTACACTCGAAATAATGCGCATTATTTACTGGGATAAATTAGGTCTCTCGCCTGACGGCTCGGATTAATAGCCTGCATTATCTCTCATAATAATAATTTAATAATTTATTGTTATGATTTTTGACTAGAAAATACATCTGTCAAACATGTAAACCTTAACCTGGCTTATTCAATTGTTTCTATAAACACAGCTTTAAGCCACTATCACAGTGTTGTTTTTCTAAATACCATATATGGAATTTAAATCCCTAAACAATAAATATTTCTTGTATTTGTATTTTTTTATAAAACTTGTTTAATATAAAAAACGTTATGCTCACATTAAATTGAACTTTTAATTGATAATCCTTTAAAATTTTATTTTGAAAAAGGATATTAAAAAAGGATATACTGTACTTGATAATAAAATCATTTAATTTTTTTATTATTTTTTCTGCAAAAAAACCTAGTTATCATTTGTTATCAACATATAAATTTAATTGTTAACAAACCTTGCTTAAAATCATGTTGCGTTGATCGTGTATGATTGAGAATTTGTATTTTCAATGCATGATCTAGAAAAACAAATAAATAAATAAAACATTAACATATATTTTTATATAGTTATTACCAATTTTAACTGAGTTATTTGACTCGATTTTTGGTTCACAAAGAAATGCTTCGTCCAATTTATAACCTTGTGATTTAAGGTAACATTTACTAATGTGTTCATTGGCAGTCTTCGAACAAATAACATGACCTGGATTATATGGGCAGTTATATTTAATTTCCGACTAAAACAAAAACAATAAATTAATTGACTGGTTATTTAAATAAAAAGACACTTTTACCTTTTTTAGGTTATCAGTAGTCCAACCCAATGAACTCACTAATGAATCCACCTGATTTTTAGCCGAACTTAAAAATTCCGATAGTTTACATATTTCTAACTTTCTTTGGGCTGCATTTATTTCCATTTTCACAAGCGGAAAATTCGGCACATCTTCCAAAATGACATCTAATCAATGTTGCCAACTTAGTTATCTATGTTAGGAAATAAATAGCCCAATGATTGCCAATATTGTTACTAGTAACTTTTATATTTATTGAGTTGGCAACAATTCGTTTTTTAAGATAACCTCAATTTTTGACATAACATTCATGTCGATGAAAAATGTCTAATATCGCAAGGATATTTCAAAGATTATCGATTAATGAGGTAACAAATGTCGGTAGAATACTTGGAGGTATACGACAAAAGACGAAATTCGTGGAATTACCAGAAATTGGTAGAGGGAAAGCCTTTCGAAGGATAGTTCACTATCCAGAACAGTACACTGTAAAACCTTTAGATGTGACAAATTTAGCCGGTAGGGACCCCGTTACGGGTCGTATGGTTGTCAAAGGTATTGGGGGTGGAATAAAACACAAATACCACTGGATAGATTGGAAACGACAGGGCCCCACTGAAGGCCCTCCACAAGTTGAAAAAGTCATTCAAATTCTTAAGGATGGATGTCGTACTGCTCACGTAGCGTTAGTTGGATATGAAGACAAGTTAAAATACATATTGGCCACAGAAAACATGAAAGCCGGAGACATTATTAAAACCTCATCGCACATACCTCGTATACCTGTAAGAGCGAACGAAGGTGATGCCCATCCACTTGGGGCTCTACCAATGGGCACTCAAATTAATTCGGTCGAAAAATACCCAGGAAAGGGCAGCTTTTATGTGCATGCTGCTGGGTCATATGCAACAATACTTCGTAAAGCTCCTAACAATCATGTGATTATTTTAATGCCTAGTAAGAAAGAGTTTAGCTTGCCAGAAACATGTATGTGTACTGTCGGTAGGTTGAGTAATGTTGATCATGGCAGCACACACATTGGATCTGCACAAAAGAATAGAGAATTAGGTAAAAAAAGGGCTATACCACTTTTAAGGCAAAATTTTAGGCTTTTTATTTGTTTTTAGGTAATAGGCCAAGGTCAGGTTTGTGGCAAAGAAAAACTGGTAGGTTTGGAAGAAAAATTAGGAGACCTCCACCTGTAAGGACTATTGGCGCCACCTCACAGGAAAAAATTGAAACTATTAGATTCACTGTCGACAGACCTTTTGTGAAAACTAAAATATCTTATTTCCATTGTAATTAAATATATTAAGCTTTAAGATTACTTTTAATTTTATTTTACAATTAGGTATTAAGAAAATGATGCATACGATTTTTTTAAAGAATTTTTAATAATTAAAAAATTTTATTAGAAAAAGACCTGTGTCAAAATGGGGATATTTATTTTGTTGACCTATTACCATGGGATGGTACCAAGCTAAATAAAAATTTAAATAGAAATGAGGGGCTATCCATAAATCTCGTGATTATCCCCCACTCCCTAAAAAAATATGTCTGTTTCTTTTTTTGTAAAATCCAACTAAAAATATATATTTTTTACTTTTTATGTACTTTGTCCTCTTCTAGCGTCACAAGATTTATGGACGGCCCCTAATAAATTTTACAAATTGGATTAAACTGTCTTATAAATATTTAGTTAGTCAAAATTAGTTTTAAAATTCAATATTTCATATATTTTTTTGCTAATAAAGAAAATTAGATTAAATATATTATTATGTCCCCATCAGTGTTTCCACATAAAGGGATTTTTTTCCTATTTATGGGGATTTTTTTGGAGAATCGGGAAAAAGGGAATTATTATTTATTTATAGGGAATTTTTGTTATACCTAATCAAATTTTTTTTACCAAGTTTGAATAAAAAGTTATAAATGTATATAAATATACAAACTAAATTAGGTACTATTGTAAAGTTTTAGTTGATTTCTTATGCAACTAATGTTGCAAGCGTGTAATAATAGTTGCTTATGCGTATGCTAGAGCATCTCAAATCGGAATCTCATATCGGAATAACAGAGATCTCTGGGGATACAGGCTCCATGGTTTGAGCCTGTAGGCTACATGACTCAAACTACCCATACAGCACGTCCAATTTGGATTACGTCTCTACAAGATATACACGTAAGAAACAGATGATGTTAAGGTGGATCTAATTGTCGATCCAGTACTGACGTACACATATGAGATACACCATTGTTTATATTAACAGAATTATGTGATACAATGTTTATTAATTGTATACCGTATGCACTTAAGATTCTAAACATTTTTATATTACGTAAAAATGGATCATTAGAATTATAAAATTTGACGTCCGTACAAGGTGCCTACAAGGTTTAAGTCATATGTATGTGTGATCCTTAATGTAATATTTGTGCCTACTGCATACACTACGAAAAAGTGCTATATATACACATGGTACTAAGAATTACATATACACTATTTAGTTGTGCCTTGTTGTGTCTACATTCGACCGTCGAATGTAGACACTTCGAGGCACAACTAAATAGTGTATATGTAATTCTTAGTACCATGTGTATATATAGCACTTTTTCGTGGTGTATGCAGTAGGCACAAATATTACAGTAAGCATCACACATACATATGACTTAAACCTTGTAGGCACCTTGTAGAGACGTCAAATTTCGAATTTCGACGATTCGAGCATTTAAAACCATAGAAAAAGGATATATACAGTGCGCGCGCAAAGCGTCAGCGTGAGAATACCGACCAAGTGTATCTCATGTGTCAATTTTTATTTCATCATTTGGGAAGTGTGTGTGTCAGAGATATATCTTTGGTGTCTGTGCACTTTAAAAAGAATTTTAAGGTAGGAATAGGAATTCTTTAATATTTACTTATTATTACTTCTATAGGAACTATTAATATTGGTGCTACAATGTTCAATAAAATTGTTACTTTATGCACCTATGGTTCTTAACATTTTATACAACGCAAAGATTGGGTTGGCTTTACCTACATGAAGCCTACAACCATTAATGGTTTAAATCCAATAAATAAGTTAGATTCTTACCTAACATTTTTATATAGGAGCGGTTCAACATGGAAGCTTTGATGCCGTTACCGGTGTCGACTATTATAGTCGACACCGGTAAGAAGGGCTGCAATTTTTAAATGAGACATTAAGAACAAACAGCCGTTACTTCACATTCTTTGTAAGTTTTGTATTTTTTATGTTTTGCACATTATTATTATTTTTATTAAATTAAAAAGTGAATACCCTATATAGTATATACAATTATAATAATAACAACTGATATTTTGTGCTCTGCTTAGGTACTCGACAACTTTTTTTATATTATTGCAGCGACTCTTTATGAAAGACGCTTGTCCAATACCCAATTTGCCAAATTTTGATTCCAAAACAATCAAGCAGGAATTACACAAAGCGGTGGGTCATATATATTCTCGTATAATAACGAACGAATTAGCCCTACAATATAACTTGTTTGGACGTAATAACAAAAAAAAATCCAAATGGACCACATAAAGAAGATTTCAAACAATTTAAGGAACTCCTTACTGTAACATTTGGTAAGTTATTGATGGCTCAATATATATTGTAAGGGTCCTGTAGTATATAAACTTTTAAATTCGAATTTGGCGCTATTTTAACTAAAGAAAATTTAAATAATCCACTAAAAATAATATTATAGTTTTAAGATATTTTATGTTTTAAAAACCCTATTGAGTTTTAAAGTTTCACTTCTTTGTATCTCAACGTAGAAATATTATGAAGACTGTTTATATTACACATTCTTGCTTAAGTGGCCGAGATGTTTAAAAGCTAGATTAGGAAATAGAATACACACAGAGGGTTTTTGCTCGCCCTTCGAGATACTCCTGTTAAACCGTTTGTGAAATATATTATAATATAGTTATAGTTTTTGTGATTGTTACCGATTTTCTGCTATAATTATTAGGTATGTACTCTTTTATAAATTGTAAATTTGCTAGTAATGATAAACAACTCCTCGTTTTGTGTTTTCTTAATATATTTTTGCTTAAAATTTTAACATCATTATTTAATTTGCATCTTGGTCTATGTTGTTTATCATTGCTAGTTTATTGGGTCCTAATCATTTTAATAATATTAATGTGTAAATAGCGAGTGATTTTTGGTAATATTTTTTTATTGTATCAAATTTCATTATTTTGGTTTAATATCTTGGGACCGCGCATACACTGAGTTTAAATCTTTATGTTGTCGCGTTTATCCTAAACAGTGAATTAAATTTATCTTAAATATTACTATTTTGTATTTTCTTTATTTTGAGTTATACTGGCCTTGATTTTGTTGTCTCCTGTTGTATAACTTTTATTTAACTGAAATGTATTTTATTGTTTATGAAACTCAGTGTATCATCTCGGTATTAAGGTATTTATTTATTTTAAATCTTTGCATTTGTACTCAGGCTAAAGCTTTTAACAATTATATTATTATTATCATATTGGTATTACTTGGGTAAGGTTTATAAAATGCTATTATTATTATTATTGCTATTATTATTATTATCACATAATTTGATATTACCATTAGGTAATATCATGGTAAGGTAATAGTACCGATTAGCATTTTGATAGATTCGGATTGGAGACTTAGGGTTAAACCTGCTTACCTAAGCGCTTTAATTTGAATACTTGATAATGACTTTTGGGTACTATATTATGTTCTTATAATATTTATTTTATACAGCGCGACACTTTCATGTGGTTTGAGTTTTAGGCTATGTTTATGTGTTTTTGTAATGACGCTCTCCTAGTTATCATTTATTGTATTTATTTACATTTTTCCCCCTTTTATTTTATTGCTAATTGTTGATTTTATTTGTGTCTGTATTTGTATTTGTGTTTTGTTGGAAAAGCGTTTTTACTTGAACATATAAGCATGGGTAATATAAAGGCATTAGGTGAAAGGTGGTGTCGTTATGTTACTTACCTTTAATTTCTGTGTGCAGGCCGTGTTTGTATGCTTTTACAATACTATTGTCTTGTGCTGGACATTGATTTTGTGAGAGGATTTAAAATGCGTAAGTGGTATAAAGGCACTAAGTGGGAGCAGTGTCGTTATATCTCTTCCACAGATGGTTTGCTTAACATTTTTCCATAGTGTGGTTATTAGCTACGGGTAATATCTGCATTATATCAATAATTTCCCGCGTTCCTATCCTATTTAGCATTCGAATTCTCTCTATATGAAAGTTGTAGTTGCTGTTCGTTTATTATTATTATTATTATTATTATTATTATTATTTTATAAAATCGTATCATCGTACAATAGTTCGAAGATGCGTGGTAAGGTAATCAAATAGTACAAATCTTTGTCATGAAATGACAATCTCTAAGAATGACTTTACCTGAGTACAAAATGTTTTGAATATTGATAAAAAACTCCCAAATTATATGAAATATGTTTATCTGCTTTTTATGTTATTTTATTCACTTATTATTTATACTGTATTCTTGTGATTGTGACCCATATGACTATGTTTGCTTTTGTAATTTATTTTTTATTTGAACTGTGTAAGTCGACAGGGTTTTTATGGTCCCTTTTCCCTGTGCTTTGACTCAACGGGCCACCCCTTTGTCTTTGCTTAAATTAAATCAGGGGTTTCAAATTAAATACTTGTGTTTCATTAAACCTGACCAATTTCAAAATAACGTTATTATCAATGTACTTAAATACACAACGTAGAGTCCTAATTTTTTTAAAGTAAGTAAATTATCAAGACGATCACGAATATGCCAAAACAAGTATTTCAGTATACTTAAAGAATCGGGTTACGAAAATATATAGTGTACCTTACATTTTGTTGCCGGGTGACCAGGATATACATTGATAATAGGGATTGAAATTGGTCTTGGTGATGAATTTATGGCTTTTACACAGCGGGGTAAAATATTTCCTACGCATTTTTAAGTGTTGCTCTCGCACAGTGAGGTAAAATATTTCTTATGCGTTTCCAAGTGTTGTTTGCACAGTGGGGTAAATATTTTTTTTGTATGTTATCTTTGTTTAGTTTTCTTTTTCTTTATTTCTTGTATTTAAGGGTTTGTTGTCATTTAATTCTATATAGTGGGTAAACTATTTTTTTTAAGCTCAAATATTCTGTGTGTATGCACAGTGGGATAAGTTTTTTTTTTCTCTCTCTTTTTTTTGTACGTTTTAAACTTAAATACGTTGTTATTACCTGTTGGTATTGCTGAGTCTTCTTTGAAGTCAGTATTTGGTATTAGTAGTTGAATCTTCCTTGAAGCCAGCTGCTTATTTAAATTTGTGTT